AGAGAGGTGTTAAAACAGCTTTTTTACATAAATAGGTAGGTATATTGCTGAATCCTGACCAGAGGGTTTGGCTCTTCTATGCTCTGCCATACGCTGGTGTAGCTGCTGTTTTCTTTCACTGACATACAATTCTGAGCACTCCTCACTGCACTGAACTGCATACACAATGTTGTTCATCTTGTGTTTTGGCGTTGGGTCTTTTGGGTGAACCAGTTGTTGCCTCCTTGCATTGCTGGGTTTAAAGCAGACAGGAATGTGATGTTTTTTTAAAACCCTTCTTAGTTTCTCAGACACCCCAGCTACATATGGGATGACCAAATTCACAACAGTCTCGTACCATCTGTAGGGATGTTGATCTGCTGAGTTAAGAAAATCAATGGTCAATTTTAGTAATTCTCTGGTGATCAGCATAGACAAGACTACATAAGAAACACAGAGTGGGGAATTTAACAAAACAGGAGCAGACAAAATCTGGAGCAGCTGTGCATGGTAACCAATCAGCTTCTCTCTTCCGTTTGTTCAGTTAAGATTTGAAAATGAGAGAGAGAAGCTGATTGGTTGCCATGCACAGCTGCTCCAGATTTTGTCTGCTCCAGTTTTGATAAATTCCCTTCAGAGGGTTTGTGACTATACCACATCAGGCCAGCATCAACAGGCAAAATGGTTCTTACAAGAATTACCTGTAGTATGCCAAGGTTTTTTTCGTGAGAGTGTATTATATATATGCTGTATGTCTTTGGAGAATGCAGCAGCAAGAGTATTGAAGCTTGTCCTGCTGCTGGAAAAACAAAGGCCAGCAGTCCATTGTGACGATTAGGCTCTGTAGGGCTTCCTTTGACTGTTGACAAGTATTTTAGATATTCGTAAGTGGTCTTTATTACACTCTGAGATTTTCAAACTTGGGCTACATTCACACTATGCGTGAATGTGCGATTTGGGATTCCTGCGGCAGAAATCCCAAATGTCAAGTTTAGATGCGGCCACTGTCACCCATTCAAGTTAATGACCAACCACTCCTTCCAACCTTTCCTGTTTATAAATATGAACATATAGACAAGTCAAGAGTTCATGTTCAAACTGGTCAAAAGATGTGTCTATGGCCAACCTAACTATTGAGGATGTTGTGTTGCCTGAAAGCCTAAAAAAAAGGACAGCCAGCAATGTGCAGTAACATTCAAGTTAGCCTTAGGTCTCGCAGTCACTAGATGTATTACCGCAGCAAAATAACTGAGATGACATTTTGTTTAAAGCCATGCACCTATGTGTATTGGAAATAGATGATCTGCAAAAATCAGTGAATATTACACCGTCTTGTGGTTGGTGATCATTATCAGAAATCATAGCTGTGTCTTTGTGGCTCAATTGGTTTAAAGTTTTCCCAATCTTGTTGAGACACTATTGACTTCGGAATGTAAATACACAAGTGATAACTGACTAACTCCATTTGAGTAATTGTTGAAGCACTGTATATACGTAATATAATACTTGCTGTTACGTTGCTACTTATGTTGTTGCTTGACGTTTGTATCTAGGCTCTGCGTTAATGGCATTGATGACAGCAATGCATGTTTAACTGCTGGTGTAATAATGTACGTTGTTTAAACAGTTGTAAATTCTGTCTGGAAAGCTGATGCATAAACGTATTTTATCTTTCACCTTTTCCCAGGCTTTCAACCTTATTTATAGTCCATTTTGAAGGACACTCTTATGTATAAGGTTTTAAAAAAAATTACAGCTTAAACAGGTTGTACAATCTTTTCAGTGTTTTGTTGAGGGAAACATATGAAAGAGAACAACATTATGTAAATCATCTGATCAATAAGCTTATTATTTAAAAAAAAGACATTGTTAATGTAAAATTTGTGATTGTTTATCTAAATGAAGCAGTGTGATTTGTTTATTACACATACGGGCTCTTCTTGTGTTTGCTATGGTAAATAATGATTGTGCTTTACTGCTCCTTCTCACAGTGCACGTTTGTGGGTCTGCAAACCCACTGAAATCGGTGCACTGCACATCTTGCTCCCTTATCTCCTCCCATGCTCGCCTCCAGGACTTCACTAGAGTCTCCCCCATTCTGTGGATTCTTTACCCCAACCTGTCCGCCTATCTCCTACTCTGACTACCTTTAGGCGTTCCCTTAAGACTCATCTCTTCAGGGAAGCTTATCCGACCTCAACCTAACCACTGAAATATCAATTTCTCCAACAATTCATCCCCACGCAGCTCCCTCCTCATGTATCACTTCCCCCTCCCTTTTAGATTGTAAGCCCTCAGGGGCAGGGCCCTCCTTACCATCTTGTCTTGAATTGTATTGTGATTGTAATGTCTTCCTTATATTGTAAAGCGCTGAGCAAACTGTTGGCGCTATATAAATCCTGTATAATAATAATAATCTCAACAGTTGTTTAAAGAGAGACAAATCAATTGCATGGAGCATCTGAGTGCCCCCTCTTATGGGTAATAAACAAAGCTCTATAATAATGCAATACCAAAAATATGAAATGCAAGCTTGTAAAAATGTGCAAATTTTAATAATGTCTTACTGAAAATGTACTTCACTTAAAAATGGATAGTGCATATATGTGGTCCAGGCTTTTTTTTAAACTGACCATGCCTAATATCAACCCTCTTAAAGAGTTTTTTTTTTAAGAGTTTGCTTAGGATCACTTACCTTGAAAGCACATCCCATACTTTTGTTTGTAGTGGTTGGTGGGGTGAAGTCCAGCCCTGAAAATACTTTGGTTAATGAATTATTGCATGTTGTGGTTACTCCACATATTTCACCAGAAGCTCAATGTAAAAGACACAGCTGAGTTCAAAACCAGGCCTTTTTTAATAAGGTTTTTAATGAAAAATTCTTTAAATGAAACATGCACAATAAGTAATATGAAAACTGCTATTTATAACCTCTTTCTCAAAATGCTAGTTGCCTGGCTTCCTCTAGCTTCAGTGCTTAAAGTCCAACTCTAGCAAAAACGTTTGTTTTTCTGTTTTGGAAAGAGCAGTCTTTGTTAACCTATTTATCCTAGAGGAATCCTTAAAAAAAGCTTGAGATCTTGAGGATCCCCTGAAATTATTTTTCAATCTAAAGCTCACGGAACACTAGTGTGTGACCATTTAGTTGTAGATAAAACAAATAAGTGTCACTATAAGAAAAATGAAAGGATAAATTCCCGGTTCACAGTGCAAAATCAACTTCACATTGGTGCACAGGGTAAACCCCACTCCACATTGGTACACAGTGTATACCCCTACTCCACATTGGTGCACAATGTAAACCCCACTCTGCATTGACGCTCCATGTAAACCCCATTCTGCATTGATGCACAGTTTAAACCCTACTCCACACTGGTGCACAGGGTACACCCCACTCCACATTGGTGCACAAGGAAAACCCCACTCTGCATTGGTGCTCCATGGAAACCCCACTCCACATTAGTGTTCAGTGCAAAATCCACTCCACATTAGAGCACAGTGCAAATGACGTAATGATCTTACACTGAAAATGTGCAGTAGACTACAGCTATTATCGGGGCTGGGGGGGGGGGGGGGTTATTTTTTACTATATAATGAAAAAAGTACTGTAAATTTCGGGGGAAAAAAACAGTTTTCCCTACAGTATGTTAAAAAAACATTCATTCTTACCCATATTTTTTGTAAAATATAAAAGACGGGGTCACATCAAGTAAATAGACACCAAACATGTCAAGCCTTAAAATTGTGTGCCCCTGCAAAACCGCAAAAACAGCCCACACCGAAAATTGGCCATAGGCGACGCTTTAAACGCTTTTACCACTCATCAGTTTAGTGTGATCAGTGATTAATGGCCCTAAAATTATTGCTCACAGCGGATCTCGGGAACAGCAGTGACAGCTGCTGCTAATACAAGCAATCAGGCACCCGATCGATTGAATGTAAAGGTCCCGGCCGGCCGTTTAATTACAACGGCCGGACGGGAAGCTATTTGTCAGGCTCCGCCGTCCTCTCGTCACAGATGAGAGGATGTGTGGATTTTTCAAGCCCTGGTAATTATACATTAATATTTATACATAGAGTTCATCTTTAAAGAAATGACAGGTATATTTTAAAGTCAAAAGCCCCCTCCCCCTCCCCCCCCCCCAATGCTAATGTAAGGACTTACCTTAAATGATTTCTCTTAATCCGATCATCTTCTTCTTTACTGTCCTTTTTATCTGTGCCTCCAGCGCAGGGTGCGGGTCTCCGATCCAGCGCTGACTCCTCTGTCCTCTTCTTTCATGTCTCACGGAGTCTGTGCGGGTGCACGCTGTTCCATATACTTACCTTGTGTGTCTCCTGGCCGAACATCTGAACTGCGCATGCGCCCGCCCGAGAAATTTTCAGATGTTCGGACGGGAGCTCGCGGCAGAGATACAGGTAAGTATTAACTCTTTTAATTTTTTTTTTTTATCGTTTTGCATATATCTACTGCTTGCTAGCAATAGATATATGCAAAAACATACAAGGGTTTAATAACCCTTTAAGTACATCCAAACATCATGCATGGGAGCTAAAAGGCTATATCTATGGAAAAGCAGGCTTTTAACCATAGGATAGGACTTAGAAAAAAAAAAAAACCTCCCCTTTTCCATAACATAGAGTGGAGGGATTCTGTAGTCCTCAGAGATAACTGAGCACAATTTGCCTGATAAGAGTTCAGCACAGGCAGAATGCACAGGATGTTACCAGCTGACAAGTTTACTAGCAGGATCAAAGGATATTATTTGCACTTATCATACTGATATAACAAAACACTTTCAATTTTATAGGTACCAGACCAAAGGGGATCTGATAACAGAAGTTCATTGTTAAGATTTACATACCATTCAAGGTTTAGTCAAAAGCATTTGGCTCAAAGTCAAACAATGTCCTGTTTGTATACACACTGGTGTTCTATGGCCATCTTTCAGTCTATTTATTTCCAAAGTATTTAGAAATGTCCAAACTTATAACTACTACTGTTTCCGTTTTCTATGCAGGTAAGCACATTGCGACAATCTGTTTCCCTCTTGCAAAAGGATAAAGACTTCCTTAACCGACAGAATATGGAGTTGAATGTCCGCTGTGCCCATGAAGAGGACCGTTTGGAAAGACTTCAGGGTCAGCTGGAAGATTCCAAAAAAGCCAGAGAAGAAATGTATGAAAAATATGTTGCTTCAAGGTGAGTGGTCTGTTGTAGAGGTCCACAGAAATGTAAATTTCAAAACCGAAACGAAACCAAAATAAAAAAAGTCAGGCCGAAACCGAAAAACAAAATGTATTTTCATTTTTTCCAATTTTTGGAAATGTTTTATTTTTATTTATTTTTTATTAACTTTGTCATTTTTGTATATTATTTATTTCTTTTTTATTAAATATTTTTTACTTTACTTTTAGGGGCTTTGGGGAAATATTGGGGGTCTAAACAGACCCCTGATATTTCCCTTTTAAAATAGAAAAAGAGATTGAGCACACAAAGTCCTCAATCTCTTTTTCTGCAGCATCAGTTATAAATGAACATGAATCCTCTATACTGAGTGTTCCTGTTCATTCATAACTTGGAGTATATTTACTACAATCATGAATGAACAGGAGGTGATGTAGATCACTTCCCATTCATTCATAATTGAGGATATAGTAACCATACTATGTGCTCAATTATTTACAAACACTCAGTGATCACTGAGTGTTTGCATTGGCTCGGTGCGGGAGGTGAACTCAGCCTCCTGTGACACTGTGTGCTGTCTCCGCTCTGCTGGACTGTGACAGGAGGCTGAGCGGTGTGGGAGGAGAGAAGCCGGCCACTCACAGCACTTTCTTTCCTCCCCGCTGTGACACAGAGCAGCGCCCAGTGAGGAGAAAAGAAAGCAGGGATGCGCCGCTGTATCGGCAGAAAAATGGCACTTTCAGCATTTAGCCAAAAGTGCAATTTTCGGACGATATATCGGTGCATCCCTTGTCTGTTGCCTTATTTCTTGGTTAATCAGTTTGCCAAATTTCTCTTAGGTGTTGACTGTAAAAGCAAAGTATCTATTTAAGCTTTGCATGTCATGTGTTTACACCAATGTACTGATTAACTATGGGAAATGTGTCTAAGTGGGGCCAGCTTGCATTTAAATAGGTTGTTCTGTGATCACTTCACACTGAGGTATTTGGTAACATAGCAAGATTTTGTTTTTCATTATATATAAATTAAACATATGGGATAAACCATTAATAATAGTATTGGGCAAGTCCACCAAAATAGTAATGGTAGAAAGTGGTGCATTTATTCATCTACCAGATTATCGTTCACCCAGACGCCATTACCAAGATCTCCCAGACAGAGCCAGAGTTGTCCAACCCCTGCCACAAAGTCGTTTTGTCCTTGTGCTGTATTTTTTTAAATGTACAATATTTAAAAAAATAAATGAAATATTTAACATTTGGAGGGGTGGGGGGCAAGAGCCCTTGATACTGGCTGGGGCGGTAGAAAAATGAGTGACCTCGCTGTTGCAAAGAGATAGTAGAGGTCTCTAAAATCAACATTAAGCTAAAATAGCAGTTTTGGATGGAATTTACAAGTTTGGTTTTATTGGACCCTAGTCAAGGTGCAGAAGAAGAGCAGTATGGTGTTTTGCCTTAAAAGCTAAGGCTCAATTACGGTTTTCCATTCCTTTGTGGTTGCAGAGATCATTATAAGACAGAATATGAGAATAAACTGCGTGATGAGCTAGAGCAAATTAGACTGAAGACAAGTCAAGAAATTGATCAACTCCGCGGGGCATCAAAAGAGATGTATGAACGGGAAAACAGGTATAATTAACACACTTGTTTCTGTTCGACAACTCGCATGCAATATATTTTAGCACAGGGGCACAGATGGTAAGGTACTGTCCAAATATTGTTTGCCCTAAATACATTTAGTGTACAATTACTGATATTGTATAGCAAACCCTTAGATATAACATAACTTCTTTTTTGTAAAACTATATATTTTACAGAGCGTATACATCATTATGTTTTATTGTTCTTACATCCACTTTTACTTGCACACGGCCTTTGAACAGTCTGTGCACATAAAATATAGTTACCTGAGAACAATATGGAAATACTTCCTTCTTTCTAATATTTTGGAGGACTGTCATCACTTATGAATCTCTGTTTGGGTGTGTCCCGGTGAGGTCATCATTTTAACTTGTTGGGAAAAGTTTTGACATTTGCAATGTACCTTTAGAAGAATATGTCCGAAAATGGTATTACATCAGTGCAGCAAACGTTTCATAGATTTAACAATGAACCGACCTACACAATGGATTGTACAGGACTCAGCAGTATGTAACATGTCAGAGGAAGCAGACAGCTCTTCTTAATTACAGGATTTATATAATTCCACCCATTCACATGTAACAGTCGAGCAAGTTAATAATCTCATAATAGTCATGAGATAGAAACTGCACTTTTTTTTTTTTTTCGCTTGAGCATTTTTTTCACTTATTGTAAAACTTGAGAGAGGTATCTGAGTCAGTGTTGTTTTTGGTTCAACCATTAATGCTGTATTAGACTAAACAGTAACTTCTTCAAGGGTCCATCCATATCTGATAAAGCTAAATAGACAGCCCCCCTTTTTTTGGCAGCATACATTGAAAATGCCAATATGCCTAATTATTCTAGCTCCAAATCTGATTGAGATTTTAACCTGCCAAGCTGTACTGCCTGGGTATGTGAGGAGCAAATATGCAGAAAGTCTTAGGCTGGGTTCACACCTAGGCATATCGAATATGCGCGTTTGTTATACGTTTCGTGCAGCGTGTTTTTACCGCGATTCGCGGTAAAAAAAAATGCGCGACAAATGCACGTTTCCGAGGGCTACCTGGCTGTATCCCAATGGTTACGCGCGGCAAATACGCCCTAAAGTAGCTCCTGTACTTCTTTGGGCGTAGGGCGTTTTGTAGCGCGTTCATACGGCCTGTAATACGCCCAGGTGTGAACCATACCCATAGGAAATAATGGGATTTCTGTGTTTAAGCGTTTTGCAGAGCGTAGGAACGCGCTACAAAACGCCCAGGTGTGAACGGGGCCTTAGTCCTTAGATGATTGTCCTTCAATTCTGATAAACATCATAATATTCAGGGTGTTTGTAGGATTTCTTGAACCTTGCTCTTTCTAGGTTATTAAAGGTTATAGGCTGCATTTGTGTTAGCAGTACATAATGTTACACTGGAATAAATGCTGGTCCCTGGCCTAGTAATGCATCTATGTAAATACATTTAAATATGGTCTATTTTGCCTACAAGCCTATCCATGAAGTCCTAAAAGCCAAAGTAGGTTAGCCGTTGATAGGTATGCAGTACCGAGAACAATGGGTGGTGAGCAATCTGTTCATCCTCATTGTGGTAATACTCTAAAGCTCACCATATATGTTACAAGCTGACTGCACAATATTTATACAATCATCTTAAGTTTTTCCGCACTATGTAATATGAGGACCTACCTAAACTGTTTAATCAATATGCATCCAATCAGACACTACATGGTTGTTGATAAATCTTGAGGAGGTTGTGCAGTCAGATTGTAACTTGCGTAGTGAGCTTTACTCTTAAGAAGAGAACATCTGTCGCTTGCACAGGAATTTTCAGATGAGTTGAGAAATCTCTCTGTGCAGTAATGAATGCCAGCAGTTGGAAATTCTAATCTTCACTTCTTCGTTTAAAGTGATTTTTAAAAGCAGGACTGAATGTAGAAAAAACAAATAGCAGTATACTTTGTATGTCTCTTACTCAAAAAATGATTTTCCTTTTTGCTAGCAATGTACACCCCTGGTATCTGTAAGATACCCAAGAAAGGAACCTAGTGCTGGGATGGTGCAACTCCAATCACTGGCCTCCTTATGGCCCAGAAAAATACCCTGCAGGTGTAGAGGTTTCAGAGAAGAAAGCAACTGCACTTTTCCCCCCAATAAAATGGGGAACTTGGGTTGTTTGATTTGGGCTTTTTGTATGGCTAAAATGGCCATATGGTTATATGTTCAAATTCTATCACCAGTTTGTTCGTGGATCAATCTAAATTCTAAAACACACCCACGGATGCTTGAGCAGTTGCACTAATATATATTTTTTTAATTAGGAATCTTTAAGCCATCAGAGTGAAAGGCGACCATTGTAAGCACCCGTTGTACATTCTGAGTATTTATTGTTATGGATGCACTGGTACCGATACTAGTATCGGTGCCGATACCGAGTATTTGGGCAAGTACGAGTACTCAGCAAAATGCTCCGATACTTACCCCTTAACCCTTCTACCGGAACTTCCGGTCAGAGGGAGATTTCCTCTGACTGGCAGTGCTGCAAGGGGGCATGGCCAATCAGGACGCTGGCCGGGCTCCATGCTGTTTGGCCGGCTTGATGCTGATTAGCTGGGAAGCCGGCTTCCCAGCCAATCAGCATCTAGCCGGCCAAACAGCATGGAGGCGGCTTCCCGGCCAATCAGGAAGCTGGGCGGTGGGTAAAGACCCGCCAGCCGGCTCCCCAGCCAATTAGCATCTAGCCGGCCGAACAGCATGGAGCCGCCTTCCCAGGCAATCAAGAAGCCAGGCGGCGAATAATAACATGCCACCTGGCTTCCTGATTGCCTGGGAAGCCAGCTCCATGCTAGTAGAAGTACAGGTATCGGCGAGTACCGACATAAATATCTTGATACTGATAAACTGGTATCTCTGAATCCCTTTTTATTATACTGATATATTGGTTATACATGGTGTTACAATGTCCATTGATGCCCATTTCCTTTTCCTGAAGTTTAAGTGCACTTTAAGTGTAGTTATGCTGATTAGGTTAACCTGCATCTATGGTTTTAAATTTTCCTTGTCTCTTCTAGGAATTTAAGGGAAGCAAAAGACAATGCTGTAGCCGAGAAAGAGCGAGCAGTTGCCGCTGAAAGAGAAGCACTGGCGAAATATGATCAGATATTAGAACAGTGAGTAACAACTTGTCATGGGTAATTGCCAGCTATGCTGGTATTATGTAAACCGTAAAAAGGTGGGATTATTGACACTGCTATAGGGATTACAATGCAGCCACTGCCACACAAGACTACACCAGCAGGTGGCAGTGTAGCTGTTGAGTGGGAGAGGGTCACGGACTGTACTTGTTACAATGCTTTTTGTGAATTGTTTTCTACAGACTGTCTGCCTAAAGAGGACCACACACATTGGTTATGTTTCATATGTTAGCTCAGCACACACTTCCCACAAGCATGAGGCCTACCTCTTTGGGTTTAAGGGAATTGATTTTTAGGTAGGCACTCACACCTCATACTTGTTGGTAAACCTGAAACCGATTGCACAATTCTGTTCTAGCATGCTTGACCAGTTTAGATGCAATTTATTTTACATCATCATTGCAATCAACCACCGTAAAGAGTCACCTGCAACCTCTCGCAAATTTTAAAGCTTAATTTTATTCTGTTTAGATTTTGCTTTCCATGGTTTCTCTTCCAGTCCCTGTGCAATCAGGATCTCGATGCAAGGCATGCAGAAAATGGCTGATGGGTGGGGTTAGAAATGATCTGTATATGGTTAACTGAAAACAGGACATCACCCTGCCCCAGTACTTTCCTCAAGAGTCCTCAGCCCTAATGCAGACAGTGGTCTGTCTCCTGGGAGGAGTAATACAGATATCAAAATGCTTTGATAGATTTGTGTCAGTCTGCTTGCTGGTTGCTGCAGCTTTTAATACACACTGTGAGAGGTCACAGCATGTAGTAAAATCAGAGTAATGCAAAAAATTCTCAATAATCCTGCTTGGGTAGACTCCACGAAACACTACATTCTTAAAAGGTAATGAAACAATACTCAAAGTGAAAGTATAATTTACAAATACTGAAACCAGGAACTGCTTTCATAGCCTTGTGTATTTATTAATATAAACATCAAAAAAATGGTTCCAGTCAGTAAAAAATCACATTGAAAATCCCCAGTCCCCGGGTCTGCTGCAAAAATATAAAAACATATAACCCTCAAATGAGCTTGTTAGGTGCACCACATCAATGTATACAAATGCATATAATCTAGTTAATCTGCCATTATCTAGCAGGTATCAGCACAATACGGCTGCCATGCTCTTATTCTACACAGACCCCAGATTATGAGAAAGGAAATCTGCTGGATGATGATGACGACTTTACTAGATCATGCATTTGTATATATTGATGTGTTCCACTTTGGACCTGATGCCTCAGAATCTTTACACATTATTACAATTAGTGGTGTGGATTTTGTATGTACATATGCTCACCTGAGGGTTGTATGTTTGTATATTTTTGCAGCAGACTGGGGGACTGAGGTTTTTAATAGGATTCATTAACATAGTTTTTAACTGTGCACAATTGTTTTTTGGGATATGTATTAATTAATATACATAGCTATGAAAGCCGTTTTTGGCTTCAACTTTTGTAAATTATTTCACTTTTAGGTTGTTTTCATTATCTTTAACTAATGTGGTGGTTTGTGGAATCAACTTAAACTTTGGTGCTGTGTCTAAAAGACAAGCTGAAGGCAAAGGTCTAGTCACCAATATTGCCTCTGGTCTCCCTGCAGCTGATCTTTTCCCCATTGCTGACTTACCATTAGTGTGGTTCTGTATGGAGGTGGTCATCTTGGTAGAGGCAGGACTTTCTAACATCAGAGCTGCCCACTGATGACTGGTGTTTTGGGGAATGATGCAGGAATTATCCAGTAGACATTCAGTACAAAAAAAGGATAATTAAACCCTTGCATGTTTTTGCATATATCTACTGCTAGCAAGCAGTAGATACATGCAAAAACAATAAATAAAAGTTTTACAAAAGGGTTAAAACTTACCTGTGTGTCCGCCACGCACTCCCGCCTGAAGATCTGAAGATTCTCTGACGGCCGCAAAGGATCATGGGGCGGGCGCATGCGTAGTTCAGATCTTCGGCAGGGAGACGAGGAGAGATACAAGTTAAGTCAATGGAGGTAGCATGCACCCGCACAGACTCAGTGGGAAAGGAAGTGCCAGGAAGAGAGAGCAGTCAGTGCTGGATCAGAGACCGGCACCAGCGTTGGAGGGACTCCTGAAAACTACTGAAAAGAAGATGATCAGATCAAGCTTTGTTTATGCCCATAGTTCTCAACTGGTGAGTCGTGACCAAAAAGTGGGTCGCAACCCCGTCTTCAGTGGGTTGCTGTGTGCCTTCTTCCACTGCGCTAGGTGAGAGGCTCCTCAGCCTCCCTCCTAGCACAGCACTGTCAATTCTCGAGCCAAGCAACCATTCAAGATAAGCTGCCCGGCACCGAGTGTCAGCTTGAGGCGCGGTGGGCTGGGGGTATGACTGCGAGGGAGCTCCATCCATAAGTGCATTGATTGTACAGCTTCCTTGCATGCCCTGTAGAGGTGCCTGGACCGGAGTGATGTCACATTCTGGCTCCCGGCACTGTATAGGGAGCTGTACAATCAATGCACATATGGATGGAGCTCCATCACAGCATAGCAGCCCACACTGAACCCCATGCTGAGGATCCACTCCAGTTTTCGTAAGGTAGGGATACTGGGTGGATCTTAAAAAAAAACAAAACATTTTTTTGGAGTGCGTATGAGAATGTCTGTGTGTGAGTGTGTGAGATTGTGTCTGTGGTTGTGTCTCTCTGTCTGTTTTTGCGGGCCTGTTCACACTAATACAGTGTGTTAATCACCCAGTCAGGTGTGATTAATGCACTGTACCACGCTATCGCACCTACCAAACACACCTCCCGACCTCAGTTTGATCACCCGCACCGGAGTGCTCGGTACTGCAATGCCGTGCATTCCAGTGCAGTGTTGGGCCACGACTTGATGACCAAGGACAAATGTGGGTCCTAAGGTTACACAGCTTGAGAACCACTGGTTTAGAGTGCTAACTTTCATGGGCAAGTCAATCTAAACTGATATTTTAGTTTTTACTAGATGCTGGGAAGTTAAACCACATAGTGTTTGAGTTCCTTGGTCTGCTCACCTGCTGTGGCCAGGCAATAGGTGATGCAGTAACACACAACGGGGGGCATGAACACAAAACTCCCAGGTGGGCAGGATCAGCATAGCTATCTAGCAACTAGTATTTTCAGAAGGAGCAGTCAGCAAGATGTACCCCAGAAACACCCAATATGAAAATATAGCTCAAACATGTGATCTGCGTTGCCTGCCCCCTCTGTATGTCCCCAAAATATTTGTAGCATTCAGTTCTTGTTTTAATTGTCCACCTTAGCTACTCCCAGGTGGACAGGATCAGCATAGCTACCTAGTGACTTGTATTTTCAGCAGGGGTCAGCAAGGTGTACCCCTGAAATATCAATTATGAAAATATAGTACAAACGTGATCTGTATTACATGCCCCTCTGGATTTTCCCATAATATCTGTAGCATTCAGTTCTGGTTTTAATGCTCCCGCCTTATCTACTGAATGTCTACCGCCGGTAGCGAGTGAGTTGAACTCGCATGACTTCCAGCTTATGTAACCTTATTTGCAATGATCTTTTGCCAGGCCTGCACAACTCCTGGACACTTACCTTATGTAACCATTCACAATATCACCTGTATATATCTTTTTTTTTTCCTGCAGACTAAATGATCTTGAAAAAATAGAGCTTTGTTTATCACCGACTATGCCAGAGGCATTTTTATTGACATGTCTAGGTGGACAACATTCCACAACTTTCTAATTAATGAACATTCAGTTTTTTTGCATCTTATGACAATAAAAGTTATGAAGATGAACCTGTGCTTTCAGATTTTTCAAAGCATGTGAAATCTTGTGTCATGAGACAGACTGAGTAATTTTGTGTACAAATACTTTTATGAATTCCATTTCCAGACATAACTCGTAGCAGTGTCACTGAGGACATGCACAGGAATTTGTGGCTTATAATATAGATTAAAGTTACAGGCAGTCCCCGAGTTACAAACATCCGACTTACATACAAACGGAGGCTATTACTGTACAGCAGGGGTAGTTGTAATGCTACCATGCTCGTGCCGGCGAGGAGTGCCCGCCTTTTTGGGTCTGGTTCGTAGTGCTGTACGTACATTACACGAAGTTGGCTCTTGTTAGACGTGCAGACGAGGGGTGCCCACCTCTTCTTCCGGATCACTGTGAGGTTTTTACTGCTGTCTGTATCCTCATCTAACTTCCTGTCCTTGAGACAACAGGAAGTGAGAGGCAATCTACCCCTAGGAAGGGAAATTCACTCCTGTAAGAGTTATCATGGGAAAAAGGTGTCTCCACTGAACCTAAACCCAAAATTTTCAAAATCCAATTGTCACAGGGACAGAAAATGAGGTGAAATCTTCTGAACAGGGCACACACAGCAAAACAAACTTTACAGGGGGTTAGATCTTCCCTATGCTATCCAAAACAAAAGAAAACTTTTTTTGGCTGGAGTTACACTTAAAAAATTTACCTGTTCCAACTTACATACAAATTCAACTTAAGAACAAACCTATAGTCCCTATCTTGTTTGTAACCCGGGGCTTACAGTAAGTTTTATAAATAGGTGCCAAACAACATTTTAACTTTGCCCTTATTTTTAATGCAGTAATTCTTAGCAACCAATCAGCTGCCAGTTTAATGTGCCCAGTTCAATAACAATATCAGTAAGGGTTCACGTGCACAATTGCTTGTCAATGCACAAACCTGCTTACTCAATGCTGAGTGTTATTTGGGTAATTAAAAAAGCTAGCATATTTGCATTTGCATTTTTCTTCCATTAACTACATAAAAAAAGGAAAGGATTCACCTTCCTATCTTAATAAGATTTCTTTCTTATCCATTGAGGGACACAGGAAGTCGTATACTGTTGTGATATACTGCCTTTTACAGAAGTATTATACACTGGCAAACAATTTGTTGGCCTGCCTTGGATAACTCCTCCTACTGCCAGCATGCCTCCATTTTTTGCTTGTGTCCTAGGAGGATGAATGTGT